CTCCGAGTATATTTTTCTGTCGTATACTTAAATAATTGAGTAGCTAATTGAATTATCGTTTAACATGTCCTATAATAATTGTTGCATAATGGGGCATATATATATAAAATCATAATTTTGGTGAAAAAAAATAAAAAAAATAACGGTACACGCTTTTCTTAGTTTGGAACAATATTAAAAAATCAATTTCCCATTAAATCAATTTCAAATACTATATATATATATATATATATATATATAATTACTAACTTATGCATTTAATAAAATATTTAATAAAACATAATTTCATTTCTCTTCAAAATGAGTTACATTTTTTTTAATTAATTACTCACTAATCTGCTAAAACCGTTGCATCTTAATATATATATTTTTATTATTTATTTTTTAGATCAGTTACTAAATTAATTCTAAAGTTGGTAGCAAAATGTTCAAATGTGTAACAACTAATGTTGGAACTTAAAGTTGATTGGTACATGCAAAACTGTAACTGCTATATTTGGTTGCATTGTTGGAAGAAAATATGATTTGCACATACTTTTTTTTTATAAAATCAGAAACACCAAAAGTTTTTTAATTTATGTTAATTTTCTTAATATGTGTCATAATTATATATGAATTATTTTATTCATATTACTAATGTAAACGTTGCATAGTTAAAACAAAATTTAAATCTCAATTAATTTTGAATGATAAAAATAACTTAAAAAAATAATAATTTTTATATGATAGAAGTATATATCTAATTAATAAATACAAACAAAAACGTATTTTATATCTGTGCAAATGCACAAGATCAAATGCTACTAGTTTTTGTCGTTAACCTAATTGATTCATAATTATAGATTACTTGTCTAGTGAAGTGGTATTAATTGGTGGTACTTGAAGAATAATGATCCCCTACCTACGGTGGACACGTGTTAATATGTCCATCGCTTATGTTGCATGCACACATTGATGATGTTAATATGTTTAAAAAAATACATCATCAATGTGTGCATTCCACATAAACGGTGCATATTAACATGTGTCTACCGTGGGTAGGTGAGCATTACTCGGTACTTGAAATAACAGTGAAAAAGGATAAAAGTGGTGATGCAGATTGAGGTCACTTTGTGGGTGGAATTTAAAAGGTAGGCAACTTTTGCACTTAATATTTTGCCATATAATATATTCATTCATCAGGGGAGGTGAAGGATTATATGCAGAATTAAATTTGAACCAATTAATCCATAAAAGCCATGACCTATATATTTTATGCCTACTTTTAAATTCTCCCATGCATCAATGATTTATTTTAATTTCTACACTATTTGACAACTACAATGAACCTTAAAATTATTGGCATGTAAAATTGAAATTTTTCTTTTATATTTTAATAGATTGTTAGAGATCAATAGATTGTTCCATTATTGGGTTGATATATAATTAATCATCTCTTTCAAAAGAGAACATGAATTGAATGTTTGGCGGTAAATGGGGCCTTTAATTATCACTTTAAACTGAAAATTTGTAGGGAAAAAAAAAAATAGAACAATTGTACTATGTTAGTGCTGGCCTCGGGACCGACCTAGTCGATCGGGTCGATATCACAGAACCAAAATTGTTGACCACAATTCGAACCACAATCAAAACCGAATAAAATACATTTCGACTCTTGTTAATTTTTAAATTTTTAATTAGTCGGCAGTTCATTAAAAAAAAACTATTTTTTTCATTCAAGCTCGACGCGTTAAAGTTTAAATAATGAATAATTCGAATTATACGAGTTGGATAAAGTGTGATATTAGGATCCTATATATATATATACTTATTTAGTATTTAGAACTATTATTGAATTTATATTATGTAATTATAAATTACTTAAAAATTAAAATTCAATTGGTAAATAATTGATTGGGGAAAAAAA